TTGTAAATAATAGCTCATTATAAAGAGGATGAAATTCTAAACATTTCCCTCGATTTCAGTATGCAGGTTTGATTTTTAGTTGCTGTGATATTTTAATCCATATCTTTAATAAAACTCATTATAATTTGGTTTTCGACACTATATTTTTTCTCTTCGCCTTTCTAATACTGCGTCGAGTTAAGATACAATTTTGAATAATAGCACATTACAGAGAGGGTGGAGTGCTAAACATTTCCCTTACTAACAATACCCAGGTCCGATTTTTAATTTCTGAGATATGTTAATCCATATGAAAAAACACTTCAAATAGTAAGTCTGCAGCCAACTTTTCCCGAGCGTTACACCTTGGAAATGACGACTTAATATAATTCGCTCTTTACAAAAAAAGTGCAAAACGCCCCTGAAAGAGTTTTCACTTCAAAAATATAATATTTAACATTTAAAGATGTAAAAGTTAATGGAGAGTATCGAAGAAGTATGAATAATAACTTCTGAAAAGCAATATTATTTAACGGAAAGTTTTTCCCCCATCTTCTCTATTCGGCAATGATTGAATCGGTGAATATAAAGGAACCCCCTAAATTCCAGGACGTTGTCTATCAATGGGTATTAAAACGACAGTATAGATTTTAGTCAATGCATCGAATAGCTCAGCGTTGAGTTAGAAATTTGCCCATACTTTCTCAGCTTTGCAATAGATGCATTGAATTTTTATTTTATTTTTTTTTTAATTTTTACCATTTTGCAATAATAGTACAGAAATAGAAACAGAAATTTCTGACATGTCTATTAAAGAGTACCTCAGGGTAGTGTCCTTGGACCAATATTATTTAATTCATATGTAAGACCTACCTCAACACAATGACACTCTACTAACTACTTTTGCTGATGACACTGCAATCCTCAGCTCAGATAAAAAGCCTGTTCGAGCATCCAGCACTCTTAAAACCAACTGAGCGATTTTGCTGATTGGGCTACAAGATGAAAAATTAAAATTAATGGAAACAAATTAGTGTAAGTAGTATTCACTCTCAACCATACAACTTCCCTAAATTACATTTAAGCAATGTTGAAATTTATTCATTAGATATTATTAGACACTTGAGTTTTTATCTAGGCAAAAGAGTAACAAGGAGGACTGACAGTCAAAAACTTATATGAGATTAAACGAAGACGTTTAAAATTATCTTTAACCTATAAAGTTTTACTAAAACCGTTTTGTACTTGCGGAATAGGACTGTAGGGTTCTGCTAAAACCTCCAATATTAAAACAATTCAATGTTTTCTGTCGCAAATTGTGCAGAGGATAACTAACGCACCGTTCTATGTCACAAATGAAATAACACGCAAGGACTTAAAATATCCCAACTATTTCAAAAACTGCCAAAGAAAATCACAACTTTCACTAAAGACTAACCTACAACATGATCCACTAATAGAAATTTTTAATTGTACAAGATGCCCCTACAGCTCACCGCGACGATTACATAGATGGTTATGGCCTAAAGATCTGCTGAGATAATGGTTAATAAGCTGTCTGTGCTTTTCGGCAATAAGCTGCTCTCTCGCTGCAATACGTCTGTCCGTCTACGCTTGTTGGTATAACAGCTCTGATGAAAGCCTGAACTTCGGGACGAAACGTCGGTGAATCTAAAAATAAATACAATCATTTATTTTGACTGGTCACCCCAACCATTCTTCTCTTCAATTATTCACTAGTCGAGCATCATCCCACAATTATAAAGTGTTATTAGTTATAGTAAGGTTATACCTCTACTGTAAACAAAGTTTGTCAGCTCTTAATTGATCTACAAACTTTTTAACTTGATTTTAAAATGCCAAAGCGAAGTGAAAAGACTGGGTTGCTGAATTATTTGTTTAAAAATGCTTTATTAGACATAATGAATAAAGATTCAGAAGCCAAAGAACTTTATGAATTCATAGATGATATTCATGCTGTCTTCACGTTCCATTTCTGTGCATATTGTACACAACAAACAAAGATCAAAGAATCAAATATATTAAAACCTTACAATAACCTTCTCCACGCGTTTACAAAGTTAGCAACAATTTCAGAGTTATGCTACGTCAAAATCAAGAGTGGCAGCGTTCATATTTGACACAGATTTTGTAAATTATTTTCTCGACTTTGCACACTTAAGAGGTTTACAATACTTAGCACTGGTTGTATGATTACCCCTACTTTATATCCTCTCATGGAACGCTTTGAAGCCATTAACATAATTTGTTCATTGCAAAGCAATTTGCAGATCGCTATGTCAGAATTTGATTTTTGGTTATCAACCAATAATAATAATTTTTACTATAACAATGGAAATATTTCTTAGGTGCTACTCGATATGATTTTGGACCTTGGATGACTACGTAATGCTGACTATTGTGTTGCTCAACTGGATCGATAGTTATGCCCTGACAGAGACACCTCTCATTGCGGACAATACCGGCTGTTGATCCGGACACCTAGACGACAAAGATCCCTTGAAGAGGTCGGACGCCATAAATCTCTCGAACGGGCAGTGGCCATATTAACATTAACATACCGCCCACCAAGTACCAGTCAAACGGATGACAGGATTTGTCTCTGCCGGGCTTTGTCGGGGCAAGACATCTCTACCGTTTTTTTCCTCCTCGGTCTTTATCTTCTCTCTTTGTGTGTCTGTTTGTTTGACATTCCTTCTGTATATTCTTATCCGGAAGGTTTCTTGCATTGCTTCAAGGGCAAGGAATGAATAGCTACCTTCGTGGTTAACAACTGTTCCAGCTAGGGCACTTCGAGAGGAGCGGGCCAAACTCCAGGGGTTGGTTGCACACAGGAAAATAATGAAATAAATTGTCTTATCCAGTGTTACCGCGCGCTCTGTGGCAAATCCTCGTACCTTCAACCTCCAACATCCTCTATTTTTTTAAGTAAAATTAGATCAGAGCTTTACTTCTTATTACGCCTAATGATAGATTTTAAAGACTTTTTTCTTTGTTAATGCGTCAAGAAGTAAAATGAGTTTAATTTAAGGCACAAAATTAAGTCTATAAAAAAAGTGATTATATTTTTAGAAACTATTGGAAAACTTTCTATAAAAATTAAGATAGCAAAATAAACTTTTTAAAAGATAAAATATTCCTAACATTATTAAAAATAAAGGAAAAACACATTATTATGACTTCATCGACATTGGAAACTAGGTTACATATAATTGATATTAATAAATTTTTATTTTGTCTTTGCTTACTTAGAACTACTTAAATGAATTATATAACAATCCTAGTTTTATGAAGGAAATAATGAATATATTTTATTGTATACTCGATAAAAATCGAGAGGAAAAAATTTAAATGACGTTAATAATTTTAAAATGTTATACATTTTTTATTATTATTTTATTTTATAGAAAGTTAAAAAATATATATATATATAAATTCACGGTTTTATGAACGAAATAATAATCATACTCTAATTAAAGAAGATATAATTGCAATTTATTTTTCTATAAAGCAACAGAAATTAAGTATTACACATTAATACAAATAATAAGACAGTAAGAAAAATTTCAAAACAAATTTTAACTTCATTCATAAAAATATAACTTTGCATACGCCAGCAAAAATTATAAACGATGCTGGTCGATCTTTGTACCTCGTACAATACGAGGATCCTCCTACGATTGGCAACACTGGTCTTATCCTATCTCAAATCGTTTACATTTAATTGGCTTATTACACATAAACAATATTTCATAAATGTATTACCATAGAATTTCAGTTATCAAAATATTATTTTAATAAATTTATAAACATTTCTGAAATGACGTGATTTTTCTTACTTAATTTATTATATATTTTCTTATGTATAATAATAATATATAAAATATCTAATGAAGAAAACAAAACAACTTTATGCCTAGTCAATGTGTATCTTTCTTCCTTTTAAAGTGTTCATCAGCTGTCTCCCCTTGGAGTTCCCAACAGTAGTCAGCACAAGCATCTTCTCATTGCATTTACCGCTATACCTCTTCTCCATTTGGGATATATCTTGATGAAACCGTTATCCGTGTTCATCTGAAACTGCTCCTAAGTTGAAATGACAGAAATCCATTAAATGTTGTACATAAACCACGGCCTTTTAGAGCGCGAATATGTGGCCAAAAATATTTTTTGAAGCCTAACATACTCGATTTCTTGGAATTTTTTCATGTTTCAATACATTGTAATAGGATCAAAATCAAATAATTTTTTTTTTCCATTTTTAGTCGAAGTTTTCAAAAAAAAAAAATGCCCAAAATATCGAAAAACAACTCATATTTTTTAACCACAGCACAAATTTGACATTAAAATGTGCCTGATAGTGATTTTCTGCGTTTGGATTCGTGTTGAACAAACCTCAAAATATGCACTTTCAGCATTTCGGAGCTCCTCCCGCTCATTTCGTTTGTCAGGTGAGGGAACACTTGAATGAAAGAGATTTCCAGATCGTTGGATTGGTCCTGATGTTAGGAAGAAACTACCTTACTTTTTATAACAGAAAGCATTGCTTGAATCCTAGAACAGTGCTCCCTCTATCAAATAGCCATCCTTTTTTAACTTCATTAGAAGAACAAAAAATATTGAGACTGAAATAGAGGTGACATAGATACTCATGGGTATGATTTTTGTGATTGGTTAAAAAGTCCAATAAGCTCACTTGCTGGATCAGTTCCCCATCTTTACCAGTACCAGTACCTTATATGCTCAGCATGGTTGCTATATTAAATTCTCATACAGAATACAATAGTTTTTTTCATTGTAATACTTCTTCATTGTAACTTGTCGGTTTTTTTTTTAAACTAAGGAGACTGCTTAACCATTAAACGTTTAATGAACCAATAACTTCAATAGAACATTTATGTGTGAGTAGATGGTTAAGAATTTCTAACCTCTTTTTAATATAATTTTTCATTTTCAAATATGTAAAAATATATGAAATTCTGATTCAGTTTGCATATTGCAGAAAGAAGAAGAGCCGGTGTCTACTAAAGTGGTAAAACTAACTTCTCGGGAAAGACGGTTCCTCAAGTTTGCCTCAGTCAAGTACGATGGTCAAATTTATATGACTCCCAAGGACTTCTTGGAATCCTTCATCCATGAGGAACCTATCCGTAAGTTGATATCAAAAGTATGTTTTCTTAATAGAATTTCTATTTTATTTTGTAAAGAATTTTTTATTTTTCATTGTTTTTGATTGACATTATGTTATAAATCATGATTTTTCAGTCTCTTTAGAAAACATATTATTGCTAAAGCTAGTTATGGATTGTGTTGAGGATAGAATCTATTTTTGTATTTAATAAATATAAGTAGTAGTATTTATTAGAGAAGGTTAAATCAAAACAGAAATAGTAAAAAATGTAAAATAATAATTAAAGTTTTATAAAAATGTTTTATAATAATAATAATAAAAGACTTAGCGAACCCGAAGGTTCGATGCCGACACCACCAATTGCTTATTGCCTACGTCCCTCCACCGTTCGCCGTCCAAACCCAGACCCTTCAGATTGGCTTTAGCGCAATCTTCCCACCTTCGTTTCGGTCTACCCCTCGGATGTTTACCATTCGGTACAGCAAATATTAATCTTTTAGAAATTCTCTCGTTACTAAACCCAACAATTTTACATGCCCATTTGATTCGCCGCAATGTAATCACCTCAATTATATAACCCGGATATAGTTCACGGAATTCGGCGGTTTTTTTTTTTTTTTTTTTTTTTTTTTTTTTTTTTTTTTTTTTTTTTTTTTTTGTTGTTCTTCCCTACCTCGCCTTTTAGGCTATACGGGATTTTCCCGGGCCGGGGGGTGAGGGCGGGGAAATTTAAAATCCCCTCCGGCACCGGGACGCGAACTCGTACTTTTTATTTCATCTCAAACTGTTATCCGGTTGCCAGGCAACTAGCGGTGCTGTTACACACGCTTTAGCCTATTCGGCCACCCCGCCCCCACGGAATTCGGCGTTGTGTAACCGTCTGAACTCTCCGGTTAACTCATCCTTCTTCGGTTCGAATACTTTATTTTCAAAATCCTGAAGTCGTCGCTTATCCCCTAATGTAAGCGGCCTACTTTTTAAGTCCGCGACAAGAGGCGCGAGCTAAGTAGTTTAGTCAAAGAAAAATAACAAGCATTAATTGATATATTATTATATTATTTATTTTAACAGTAAATACATATATTGGTGAATGGGATGTCTTTTTTTTAATAAATATTCTATTATATATTTAACTTTTGTTTTTGTTTAATTTGTGTATCTATTCTGTTTCTTATTTATATCTTAGTTGGTTAACTGAATTTAAAAAAAAAAAATTAGCGTTTGTAATATGTTATAAAAAACGCTGCAAATTATTTCACAATGGTTTATTATTTCCAAATAATCATACCTCTAAAGTAACATAAAGAAAAAGAAATAAAAGGTGATTCCTATTACTTGCCTAAACATTTTTTTTTTTTTTCATCTTTAGTAATTTGCTAAAAAAAGTAGCATTGCTTCAGTAACACTTTCAAAAATCAAAAACCAAAACAAAGAATATAACCTTTGCAGTAGTATATAAAACATATATTGGAACCATATCTTTGCTCCAAATTGTCCAATTTTAATGATTTTTTTTTTTGTTGTTTCTTAGGAAATTTCGTAAACTTTTAAATAACCATATATAATATCAATAAGTGTATACTTTTTGAGTTATTCGGAAATCTAATTTCATCACCTCTCGTAATTTTTGTCCTGCTTCTTTTCGTTGAAGTATATAATATAAATTTAAAGGACATCGATTAAGTTTCATTCGAAGCGTTGCTAAGTTTTATTGAAATCGGTACATTCGTTTAGGTAGCACAGATTTTTTCGGCCGCCATCTTGAAAGGAAAGAGCGGATAGTATTGTTGATATAGGAGGATCATCCTCGGGTGACCTCTGACTTTAAATCCAAATTTGAAAAAAAATTGGTCCAATAATTTCAGAGAAAATGCGCGTCTGCCTCACGGCAGGCGGACAAAAAAAAATTATTTGATTTTCGAATAACGTACGTATCTTGAAACGTAAAACCTCGAATTTTGAGGGGTGTTGAATTTTTGTATTTTTTGGACGATTACAATGGTTCAGTATTGAACATAACAAAACCAGAATTGTTTCGAGTGTCTCACTTGTGTACATGTCATATCTTTATAACTGTGAATGCAAATTTATTTCACAAAATGTTTAATGAACTATGAATGAACTAAATCAAATTACTCATATAAAACATAAAGTTTTAAATTAAAAGTGAAATCGATGTTCTCATAATATGAGCTTTACTGGTTCATTAAGACCTTAATACTATAAATTTATTTAAAAGTTAATGGGATTTATAAAATTGTCAGCTAATAGTGGTTCAAGGATCTTTTTTCTTTTAAAATGTTCTGGGAGAAAAAGGGAAAAAACTTACTATATGATGATTTAAGTAGTTCTTGAAGGCAAAAAAAAAAAAAAAAAAAAAAATATATATATATATATATATATATATATATATATATATATATATATAGAATAGAATAGAATAGAAAAATAATTTTATTCTGGGACGAAGTCACTTCAGAATAACAAAAAAGTACAGAAATTAAAATTTTACATCTGGCCAGATAAAAACAAACATAACAAATTAAGATAATGATAGGTCATTAAAGAAAAGAAAAGAAAAAAAATATTGGTTATACATACTATATACAAAATAAAATATAAAAATCTATATAAAAAACTCTTGAAACCATACTAAGATACTTAAAACTATTTACGGTGTTAAAACATAAATAAACCCTTTTAGAAAAAATAAAAAATACAGAAAAAATAAATGTATATTCTTCTTAACAGTAAAATCTGTTTCTGCTGAAACAGAAAAAAAAAAAAAAAAAGAGAAAAAGAAAGTCGAATCTATAATAAGTATTCAGGTCACGAGCTATATGTGAATATGGTCTTATATATAATGTGTAATTTTACATAAAAGATTAGCTGGTGCCTGACTGTTTTTGGGACAGGAATTGGAATAGGAGGGTTTTGAATGTAGATAAGGATGAAGAATGTCGAATTTTGATTGGAAGGGAATTCCAGAAACTAACAGAACGTGCAATAAAGGAGTTTTGGAACGAGGCAGATCTGTGAGAAGGAATGTAAAGGTCGGAAGGTCGAGATCTTGTGGAGCGGGAGTGGACTGAGGACTTGAATTGGAGAAGGTTGTAGGCGTAGGAAGGACGATGATTGTTGATGATATGATAGAGGAATGTACCTAGGAAATATTGTCTTCGAATGGAGGGGAAGAGCCACTCTAACTCAGTGTAATGGTGAGAGACATGGTAGTATCTTGGGGCACCAATTACAAATCTCACGCAACTGTTCATTATTCTTTTCAGTCTGTCGCGGAGCTCCACCGAGAGTCCATCATACACCACCCAGCAGTAGTCAAAGTGGGGGAAGATGAGAGAGGAAACGAGGAGTCTGCGCGTATGTTGAGGTAGGAGATGGCGGAAGCAATGGAATAGTTTGAGGGTAGAGACTGTCCGTCGGGAGATGTGAGAAATATGGTGACTCCAGGAGAGGGTTTGATCAATAAATAGTCCTAAATTTTTTACAGAGGAGTAGAAGGAGATTGGCTGGTCACCAAGGTTTAGTATGGGAAAGTCCGTATAGGATCTAAGGAGGGGCTTGGAACCAATGACAATGGCCTGAGTTTTTGAAGCATTTAACCTTAATCCGTTTAATTTTGCCCAGGCACAGATTCGATCTAGGTCTGCTTGGATATATATATATATATATATATATATGCCTTTATAGATACATTTATTATATTTCTTTTTGATACATGCTTACATTTAGTAACTGTATATGTATTATAATTTAAAAAGATAATATATTGTGATTGTTTAAGTATTTAGTCTAGATCGCTCACATAAACAAATATGGAACTATAAAAAAAATTATTTTTCCATTTTGGGAAGCCAGCTTGAAAGTCACCCCTGTAGATCCACCAGTGCCCTTATTCATCTTTTCTTCTTTGCTCTTTTCTTCCTCAAAACTCCAGTCCCCATATTTATTATCATCCCATCATATTCCCAGCGTTAAAGATTTTATACATTTAGCAATATAGTCTATATGAGGATCCTTTAAAAATCTCGATGTTGTTTATCACTACATAATAAATAAGCTTATATGTTGTACATTATTATATTTAAATTTAAATTGGTTTCAAAGTTTATTCGCTGATCGATTATTTTTATTTACCAGCTGTTAGGGAGAGACGGGATCTGCCAATAAAGGAACTGGAAGGAATACGCAAATCCACTCCACCCCTCACCTCTGGCTCTTCACATCTCTTCAGAAATCTCCAAGACAAGGGTATATACTTTGATAATAATATTTTATTCTCTTATTGTAACCCTACAAGACTTTAATGTACTCATATTATAAAATGTATGTATTTTACTTAGTTATTATTAAACTTTACTATTGTAATTCACTTATGAACCATAATTCATTTATGGTAATTATGGAGATGGTTGATCGCAGATTTTAATTTCAGAAGAAGTTATTCGGAGATGCGGTAAAAAACAATACTATACTATATAATAGTATATTTATTGCATTGTCCAACGTTTTGATATATGTTGTAGGTCTTCTTCAGTGCCAGTGGGAAAACACTGAAGAATACCTACAACATAGGTTGAAATGTTGAACAATGCAATAAATATACTATTATATACATAGCGTTTTTTTACCGCACATCCAATTAACTTCTTCTGAAACCATACTTCGAGGTAGTTAAGGGAAAAAGACAAACTTAAAGTATGGTGTCCTTGCTGACAGATGGTTGTTCCTGGAACATTAAGTGGATCATGAGAGACCTTCATAATTTTCCACCCAGTATTTTGGTTAAGGTTTCCGGCAAGACTAAAGCTAAGTAGACAAATATACAAGGAGAAAAGATAGAAATAAAAAATATATAAAAAATAGAGGTCCTGTAATCTTATTATTTTTTTTTTTGTTGGTGCTATGGATCCTCTGGACCACATCTCGATTCCCGATTTAAGTTCATGAGGATAGGGTCTTCAGTCCTAAAGCCGGTCGGTGTGAGTTGCCTCCAGTAGGCTGATGGGCCTCACATACCCCGGGGAATGGAAATCTCGGGCAGCATGGCTTTCCCTGGTGGACGGTCACCCATCCAAGTGCTAGCCACGCTCGGCATTGCTTAACTTTGATTACCTATTGCAAGCGCCTTAGCCCGCACGGCTACCCCAGCCTCTAAATCTTCTTATTACCAATTTTTTTATGTTGATGTCAAGTATTGGTACATTGTACTGGTGCTTTTACCCTAATTTAAAATTAAATTTATTTAGGTCTAAGCATCCTCATTTTACTATGTATGATTACTATGAGATTTTTAACTAACTTCATAAACAAGTTAGTATAATTAAAAACTAATAATAAATAGTTTTCTTTCAGAGATGATTAAATTCTGTCTTTGTTAATGTAATATTTATTTTAATCTGTTAAGGTTTATTTAATTAAAACCAAAGGTAGAGAATGTTGAGGATAATTGTTTTTTATTTTGTTGCAGGAATCATCTCCTATACAGAGTATTTGTTTCTTATATCAATATTAACTAGTAAGTAATTATTTTGTTTGTATTTCTGTACTTTTAAAAATTATGATTAGGCCCTATAACTATTGATTTACTTTTATTAAATTTCATCTATATGGAATGTTTAGTGAGATTTAATGTTGTTTTTTTTTTTAATTTACTACTTTATGAATAAAATACAATAAGAAAATCTGCTATAAAAATATAAAACATGAAAATAGCTTGTTAACCAACTACCCTTTGGTAATTTAGGAGGTTCTTTGGCATTTTTTTTTCAGGCTCATCTTTTGAAGGTTGTTATAAACAGAATGAAAGGTTATGAACTAAGGAGTTTGAGTACCCAACGAGTTTGCAATTAAAAGATTTATATTTATTTTGGGTTGAATCCGCAACAAATAGAATATTGAACTCTTTATGGATAATTAGATTTGAGATACAAGCATACATGAGGAGCATTAAGAGATCAATGGAAGATTTCCGATTGTAAGGATTGAACGCAGGAAGAATTTAATAGTATTGTTGAGCTCCAGAGCTCAATTCCATATGTTTAAATTGGCCTGATAATAGGATATGAGTTTTTTGTAGTATATTGGAAGTTTGGCAAGTAAATATTGTTGTTATCAGTATCTATAAGCAGTTCCATATCGTAACAGTCTTGTATTAGCATTCCAACTAAGATGCTTGTCAAAATTCTAGATAGCAGACCTCTTCGACGAGAATGATTGGAGTATTGTAAAAGGATACATAATAAAAGGATGTTGGAATAGGTTTATGACAATGGGTAAATGTGATAGTTGGAAATTTCAGTTCTCTGGTTTTGACTCCATTCTTCAATAGCAACAATGTTTGACTGCAGAGATTTGGATGCAAGATTTGGGTCATTATTGTGCAAAAAATGCAAGTTGTGAGTACAGTGGTAAGAGGGGTTCAGATATCAGCTGTATAAACCATTTAGAGAATGGAGCCTAAGATGATCTCTTGAGGAACACCGATGGACTTGGAAGGAACGTATTAAGAAGACTTGTACTGCAGTTATGGGTACCAGATTTATTCAAAAGGCTATTCTACATCGAATTCTACGCCGTGCAATACATTCCATATTGCAATGTGGAGGATATAATATCCACCTCATGAAGGCAGTACAGAAGATTTTTCCCAAGATTTATTTCTAATTTATAAATATTGGATATGAAATATAAAATTAATTACTAGTTCTAAACTTTTATTACAACTAGTTAGTCCATGCGAATAATTCGCACAGTATATTGGTCAGTGATCAATTGACAAATTAATAAGAAAATACTGCTATGTATTATAAGATGGAGAAATTAAATCTTATTTTCTCTGTAATCATAATCTCTCTAGGAAATGAAAATTAATTTAAAACTTCATGTTTCAAACCAACATCTTTTTTTCCTGAAATTTCTGGGGGATTTGACTATTTTCCCACCTGAAGGAGGAGGAAATCTTCAAAATGGTGGCCCAATCTTGGGATCTTCTGAAGAAGCAACGGAGATATAGCTTACCAGCAAAACAAAAACGTTGATAAATAATATAAACTCCTCTTCTCTTGATCATAGAAACCTCAAGTTGATGACATGGAACATGTATCCCACAGAACGACTACAATTAATGTGAGGTTGTGTGGCTACGAACCCTTTGCCATGCATAATCTCGAAAATGGTATATTTTTAGTTGTATGTTAGTATATTGGTAAAATGGTATATTGAATACCTGTGTCAACATTTCCCAAACCCAATCTGTTCTGTCTCGATCAACTGACTTACCACTGCCCCAGCATTAAAGCCTAGTGAAATTTTTATATCGACTTTATTTATTTTAGAAAGAAAAACAAAACTGGAGAGTACGATTCACTAACTCCCCATGAAATTCTAAATCATTCATGGCAGGAGGTTATATTTGCTACAAAACCAATTTGAAGGCTTAATGTAATAATATATTTGGAGATTAAATTTAAAAATGAATTTTCTTATTTATTAAAAAATAAATCTTTTTAATTTATATATAATTGAGGTACTATGTTTCAGAGCCTCTTTCTGGATTCAGGATTGCCTTCAACATGTTCGATACAGATGGCAATGAAAGAGTTGATAAGAATGAGTTTCTCGTGGTAAGTTACATCAATTGTAGATCTTTATAATGTTGGTCAAAAAAAAATTTATCTCATTCAATGCTATAAAAACGACATTTTATAATTCATTGTCCATTTTAGTTTTATTTACATGTCACAATAAATATCATTTCATACAGAATATGTATGAAATTACAGTCAAATGAATATTTATTATAGTGACTCCTCAAGTAGAATATAAACTTTCAATTTTTTTTTAAATCAAGCATTTAATGATAATATTTTATTTAAATGCAATACAAAACGAATAACTGTGAACTTTATTTTTGACTTAATGTAACAAAAAAAAAGTTTTAAAAAATTTAATCAATTCCTTAAGGAACAGAATGGTCCTCATTTTACATGTGTTTATATTTCATCATGTCCACTTGAAATTTAGTTCATTTAGGTTATGCTTCATGAATTCTTGAAACTGAGTAGTGTTTAACTAACTGCTTCTATAAGACTAGAAATTTAAAAGATATTTGCTTTATTGAAACACTCTCAGATCATCTATTGACTTTTTCATTCATGCCCAAAGGTTTTTTCAAAAATCTTAAAGTACACTAATAACAACTTTTTTTTACAAGAAGTATTTTATCACTTCATTGTAACATTGACCTCTGTGGATTAGCTCTTATGTATCCAGTATAATCTATTATGTTCACATTCTTTTTATTGGTTTATTATTTTCAATAAGGAACCATCGTAATCATTCAAAAACTTAACCCCCTCAAAATTTAAAGATTTATTTTTTAGGATATGTAGAATTTTTATTATTTTAGGAATTTACTATAATATTTTAATAATAATAATAATAATAAGGCTTAGCGAGCCCGAAGGTTCGATGCCGACACCACCAATCGCTTGTTACACACCTCCCTCCACCGTTCGCCGTCCAAACCCAGTCCCTTCAGATCGGCTTTAATGCAATCTTCCCACCTTCGCTTCGGTCTTCCCCTCGGACGCTTACCATTCGGCACAGCAAATATTAACCTTTTAGGAATTCTCTCGTTACTAAGCCCAACAACTTTACAAGCCCATTTGATTCGCCGCGATGAAATTACCTCAATTATATTACCCGGATACATCTCACGCAATTCGGCGTTGTGTAACCGTCTGAACTCTCCGGTTAACTCATCCTTCTTCGGTCCGAATATTCTACGCAATACTTTATTTTCAAAAACCTTGAGACGCTGCTCATCCCTTAATGTAAGCGGCCAAGTTTCGCATCCATAAAGAACTGTAGGCAAGATAATTGTTTTATAGATTCTAATTTTTAAGTTTCGGGACAAGAGGCGCGAACTAAGTAGTTTTGTCACAGAAAAATAACAAGCATTCCCCGCCTTCAGTCTAACCTTAATCTCTTCTTCAATTCCGTTTTTTCTAGTTATCGTAGAACCTAGATACCTAAATTTATCTACCTGTACAAACATATTACCATCTATATCGATATCACCAGTAGTATCGCCATTTTTGCAGCTAACCATATATTTTGTTTTATCCACGTTTATTTCGAGTCCTAGTTCTTTACCGGCTTTCATTAACGTTGTCGTATTTAGTTTTATAGTTTCAACGTCTTCGCTTAACAGTACCAGATCATCAGCATAGCCCAGCACGGATGTTGTCCCGCCCAGATCCAAGCCTTTCTCGGTTCGCATTACTTCCCTAATGGCATGTTCTAATGCCAAATTGAACAGGACAGGCGAAAGAGAATCCCCCTGTTTTAAGCCCGAACGAACCTCAAATTTTTCGGACAAATTATTACCGATTCTAACTTTATTAAGTGTCTCCGTCAAGCACATCCTGACTAGATTTACTAGTTTTTTTGGAATCCCCTGCTCGATTAGAATATTATACAGTTTCTGGCGGTCAATAGAATCGTAAGCCTTTTTAAAATCTATATACAGCTGGTGAACAATACCGTTATACTCCAATTTTTTCTCTAATATTTGCCGTAAAGAAAATATTTGATCAATAGTAGAACGATTCCGTCTAAATCCGCATTGGTAGTCTCCGATAATTTCCTCGGCGTATTCCGTGATTCGACTGGTTAAGATTAAAGTGAATATTTTATAACATACCGGAAGCAGTGAAATTCCTCGATAGTTATTACAATCCGTCCTCGGACCCTTTTTGTGAATCGGAATAAGAATAGATTCTTTCCATTCTTCAGGTAATTTCTCGTTCACCCAGATCTTTTTAACCAACCGATGTATTTTAGAAACTCCAGCTTCTCCGCATGCCTTAATTAGTTCAGTAGGAATATTATCGATTCCCGCTGCTTTATATGATTTTAATTTTCCGATAGCTACTTCAACTTCCTCTTTACTTGGTCCTTCTATTAATGGTTCAGCACTCTGGTACTCAGAAGGAGGACACAGATCATAATTTACCGTATTTAAAATATTGTCAAAGTGGTCCTTAAACTTATTCAATATGTCAACCGGATCGGTCAGAATATTGTTATTATCATCCCTAATTCCAGACGTTACGGGCCCTACATATTTACGTGTTCTGTTTATACCTTTGTACATTTCTCTTACGTTATTTTCAATTCTATTAGTTTCTATTTCAATTATTTTATTTTTAAGATACTCCCTTTTTTTATTTTTGAGCAATTTTGTCGTTTCGTTCTTTGAGATTCGGAAGTATTCCAGATTGTCTTCGCTAGGATTATTTAGAGCTTTTAATTTAGCGGCTTTTCTTTTTTCACACATATTTAAGCAATCTTCATCAAACCACGGTTTGTTATACTTATTTTCCTTTTTTCCTAGACACGAGTTACCGACCGCTTTAATATTATCTCTGATCTCTATCCATAACTTGTCAATATCCTCGTGGTCCTCGTCAGGAAGCTCTAAAGCTTCAAACCTATTCTTAACATCTAGCTCGAATTGGTTTCTAATTGATGGATTTTTCAATTTTTCCAAATTAAAATTCTCAAAATCGAAACGGTTTTCTTTTCTCTTTTTTATATTAAGTTTTTGTCGAAGTTTCGCGATTACTAATTCATGATCCGACCCACATTCTGCTCCGCGATAAGACCGTACATTAATTATACTGCTTTGCCAGCTGTGTTGTATCAAGACATGATCGATTTGATTTCGTGTTTGCGAATCCGGTGATGTCCAAGTATATTTATGAATATCCTTATGTTTAAACGTCGTACTTTTAATTATCAGGTTTTTCGAGATGGCGAAGTTTATCAGACGGATCCCATTATCATTACTATATTCGTGCAAACTTTCTTTACCAATCGTCGGAATATAAACTTCTTCCCTTCCTACCTTTGCGTTCGCGTCACCTACAATTATTTTCATGTAGTTTCGTGGTAGTTTATCATAAACCCATTCGAGTTTATCGTAAAATTCACTTTTGACTTCATCGTCACTGTCTTCGGTCGGACAATGTATGTTTATTAATGCGATTTTAAACCAACGTCCCTGAAATGTAGCTACCGAAATTCTATCACTAAAGAATTGTACGTTCCTCAAAGCGGATAGTAATCTACGCCTAATTAGAAACCCGGTACCTAAACAATGATTCCCGCTTCCTCCGTACCAAATAGTGTACTTCCCTTCCCTCATCGAGCCCTCCCCTGGCCAGCGAATCTCTTGCAGAGCCACGACATCCAAATTGTACCCATTTACCTCATTCGCGACCGATTTTAGCCCCCCTGCTGTGTTTAAACTCCTTACGTTCCACGTACCAATATTTAAATCCCTATATTTCAACTTGCGCCATGAATCCCCTAAAGCAGTCCCCACCCGGAGACCCGAACGGGGGACTAGTTTACCTCCGGATAATGAGCGTTTTACCTTAGGGAGATCCATGACTTTTTGTGGTGTTTGGTGAACTAAAGATATGTGAGTAGGGCGTTCAATCCTACGTCACACCCTCCAGCAAGTCTGGTGGGCCCCTACCTCCAGCAAGTCTGGAGGTCCCCTCCCTCCAGCAAGTCTGGAGGGCCCCTCTCATTGTTGGTCAGCGAGTCCATCGGACTTAGCCGGGAGAAACTTCCAAGGAATTTCCACCGACCATCCCCACATCCGCCACCCGTGGGACGCTCCCCATACGCGGTAATGAGCCCGCGCGAGGACTATAATATTTTATAAATTATATTTATTTTTATTTTTGCCTAAGTTTCTGCCTAAAGTTCAGGCCTTCAGCGGGCTGGTCAAACGACGGATTCCCTGTAATCTCTCTAAAAGAGAGGGGAATCTCTCATTTGACCAGCCCTTATGAAGACCGAAATATAATGTATTTATTTTTACATTTTTTTTATTGAACACCCCAATCAATCTTCTCTTCAGTTATTCACTATAGTCAACTAGCAATCCAAAATTATAATATTTTATTTACATTTTTTTTAGTTAATTGAAGTTTCATAATGCATTATGTTTGTTTATATATTATTATTCATATTAACAGTTGTATTTTATGTTTTATTATATTTCTAGGTTGTTCATTATGTCTATATGAGAACTGCTCAAATTTCTTCTTTCTTTTTTTTAAACTATGTTCTCATTAAAGAATATTAAAATAAGGAAGAATTTTATTCACTCTCTCTCAAAGAAATGATTATTCTTCCTGTCAGATAATCAATTTCAGAAATTCTATTCCTTTCAAATTAATTTAACTGATTATTATAAATTAAATGTATATATTTACTGTATATTTTATATTATACTTGAAAAGAATTTGTTTGGGGAGTACAGTAAAAAAAAAAAAATAAATAAATATATATATATATATATATATATATTTATTTATATATTTATTTAGTTTTAATTCTTTTCTTTTTTTATTGAATACCCCAACCAATTTCTCTTCAATTATTCACTACCGTCAACCATCAATCCACTATTATTTTATTTTATAGAATTGTAAGTATGCTAAGCAATACAAAATCAAAATTTAAAAAAGAACTATTAATGAAAATTTTATACCCAATAGTCCTTTTTTTGTTTCAAGATATTTTACTTTTCTTTTAACATATTTGAGCCTTAAAAAAATATAATTGACAGTTATGTTATAAACTTGAAGAAATTGTTTTTTTTTTCTTGTTTTTTTTATTGTTTATTAGTATATGTTTTGTTTTTTATTTTTATAGTTAATTTTATCTGAATTTTTGTTAACATTTTTATACAGCTTCAGCGTATATTTGGTAAGCGGCGTATAGATGATGAAGAAGAAAAATTATTTGTGAGTTTTTATTTTATTGAAAGCAAGCGAAGGATAGATGATAATATAATTCTGCTTGTGATCTATATCTGCGTTATTTCTACTTTCATGTCTTTAACAAATAAAAATAAGTGTTTTAATCACATTTAATCAGTTTGGATAGTTGGTTGCAATTCATCAGTGCGGTTAAATGTTTTGTGCTTTGAGCAGGTTTCATTGTGCTTCATATCACTTTGTCTAATCCAATCATCACATCATCCTCATCATTTTCTTAACATGAATTTTAGGATTCAAAATGTCTTAAAAATTATAGAAAAACACAATAACATATATTATTTTGATCTTCTTACAAATTTTTATTGTGATAGCATAGTCATTTTTTTATGTTTTATAGTGTTAATATATTATTCTTGAAAAGTATATCTGTATAGAATATAATTTGAATATTCCAAACAAAATCTTTAAGTCTTTTAAATACAGGTGAACAATTAGCCTTTCAACATTTTGCCAATTAAAAAAAAAATCATGATAAAATATATCCAGGCCAAATGTTTACATCTTAAATCAACACCCAAAAAGAAGCATCAACTATAGACATTACATCACTCCAAAACATATAAACAGATATTCTAAGAGAAGGGTATATGTTTAGATGTCTTAAGGAGGGAATGATGTACATTCTCTATTTTGTATGTTGCATTTTGGCTGTTGATAATTTTGACATGCTGTATTAGTCTGCTGTACACTTTTTTTCAAATTATGAACAGCTGACTAAAACTTTATGAATAGCTTCATCTTATCGTAACTTACAAATATTTTATTTATGAAAATTATCGGATTTTCAATCTGGAGATAGGCAAACTTTGTCTATTTAATTAGATACTAAAAACTCATGAATACTCAATTGCTTTCCACTTGAATCATAAGATATTATGACCACAAAATAAACAAAAGATGCCCTTAAAAAATATTGCGTCATTTGGCCTATATAACCTCATTATTTTGACATTTTGGGAGTGTTGGTCACGCCAACAGACCGATATTTTTGTAGGCCACTTTTTTTTCGACTTTGTGATCATATTATCTTACGATTCGAGTGGAATGCGAATGAGTATTCATGAGTTTTTAATACCTAATTAAATAGACATAATTTGCATATCTCTAGATAGAAAACACCCCAATTTCGAGAATTTTCATAAATAAAATATTTGTAGGTTACGATAAAATGAAGCTATTCAAAAAGTTTTCAAAGTATGTTAATAATTTCATAAAAAGGGGTCTGTACCATGGATTATATATAACTATATAATTTATTTGTTTGTGTCGTGATGATCCCTGAATTGGCAGAGGATTGGCAAGTCAATTATTTACCTGTATTTTAGAAAATCTAAACATTGTGTTTAGAGTCTTCCAATTATATTTCAACACTTAATTTATGTGTTTGTTTTTAGTTTTTGCTCTTTTATACTAATTTATGTTACTATTTTTTGTTGATTGATTGTATATGAAATGATTTATAATTTTTAGTCATTTTTTAAACTTTTGTGTATTTCCACTAATATAGCTCTTTAATGCATGAATTTATTTACTTCTAGGTGTTTGGTTCCATCATAAAATATTTGCATTTCTTTTAAAAATTTGTTATATTTTGAATTAATATTTCTCCTATTTTTTTTAACTTAATTTCAATCATATACCCTGTCCTGCTTTATTTATTTTTTTATTATGATCTTCCTGTCTATTTTTATTACAATATTCATTAAATAACTTGAGTAGCCAACAATTTTTTTGATCATTGAATACCTACTTTTGATAACTAATGATTTTGTAATAACTATACCCAAAAAAAGTTACTACTATAATTTTTTTTATAACCCTACTTTTATTCTGTTTGTTTTATTTATGTACTTATGTATTGTTATTCTTATAACAATAAACCTGTAAACTATCTCAGCAGTTCAAACAAATGTGTGAATTTGGATACCCCAAAAGTGACTCGAGCTCTGTTTTGTGGTGTATATTGTTTTTAATTTTCCCAGGAAGATGCATGACAAATACTAGAATTTTTTAAGATGGTTCATTTACTCAAAATTCTGACTCAGAAAATGAAAAAGCTTGTTTTCTGGACCAGTGCTTTGAGCAAATCTCATCGAAAGCCATAAGATATACCCATGTGCAAAGAAAACTTTTAGAATACTTTTTGATAGACATGCACTAAGTCCAATACAGCGTATCTTTACAGGCCCTGGTCTGTTCAGATATTTTATTTTTTATTTTGAACATACTTTATCAAGTATGTACCACATATGACAATTTGAAGAGCTTTAAGAAGAAAAATTTTGGCTACTGGTAAAGATGTTATATAAAGCCCTATAATGAGAAAAGCATGGTTTAATTTATATATTATGTACATAGGCACTGGTTGCCAAAAAAAAATCTGGTGTGTCCACTCACACGACTTTCCTACCTATTTCAGAAAAATTTTTATATCTGTGCATATCTTCATGAGAAAATAAAAATGAATTGAACTAGATTTATTTTCCTGAAAATTGATCAAACCAAAGATTTGAGTACGATTTATTTGATGAACTAAATCAATGAAAGCCGCGTAAGGTAGATCAGTGTAAAAATTTCAATACCCTCTAATATTGCTGATCAAAAACTTTTTGCCATGGCTTAGTATTGTCAAATAATAATTTCTGTTAAAAGGAAGTAGAGGGAATAGTGAAGATTGTGTGATACGGGCAACAGATTTTCTCACTTTCACTTAGTCATCTAAAAATGACTTCTTTAATCATATAAGAATATATTCTCTCATTCACCCCTTTCTGACACTAGGATATGAACCCGTAATCTTACATTGGAAATTGAGTAGCTGTAACTTCGTTAATAGTTGTCCAAAATGAACGATTTTTATATGGCTTTGTAGGGAATTTCATTACCTTTCAAACGACAGGCTAAACGGCGTGTTTTTCGGACACAGGAGGAAATTTGACCCGATTGCAATACCTTCCTTTCCTCGTATAGGTAGGAAAGTAAAAAGTTAAAAAATGTGTAAAAAATAGAATGAGCTGTATCATCGCTAATACTGATTCGATTCAGATGATTTTTGTTTTGTTTTTTTGGTAATATTACCTTTCAAAAGTTTTATTATAAATTCTACCGTATAATATATACTTAGGGAGTTAGGCCCCATAAAATTTTTCTTTTCTTTATAACTTTTTTTCCTGAATTTTTTTGGGAATTTAGCCTATATCCGAAAATTGAAAGGACAGGGGTTAGAACATTATAGAAAAGTTTCATCAAAATCGTTAGAGCCGTTTGCGCGCTATAGTCTATAGAAAAACATGTTTTTCATTTATTGCGCATGGAGCACCGAATTTCTGTCACAGGCATCAGTTATCAAAACTCTACAAAATAAAAAAAGAAGCAACAAAATCGGTTCAGTAGTTCCCGAGAAAATCTTGGCACAGACAGACAGACAGACCAATGGCTAAAAATGTGTTTTTCGGACTCAGGAGGCTCTGAAACATATAGATCCGTCAAAAACCGTATATCGGAAATTTGACCCAATTGCAATACTTTCCTTACCTAGTATAGGTAGGAAAGTAAAAACAGAAAAAATTAGCAAAATTGGTCCACCTGTCTCTGAGATAGCGATAGCATATTTAGATAATGGCATAAAACTTCTAATTTTGTTGATATCTCGTTAGATTTAGATTGACATTAAAAATAAAAATTTCCACCTCGATTAGCTAGAGTTTGTAGCTCAATCAACAAAATTTTCTTGGTAGTTCATTTTATTTTTATTTCTGAATTACATCATCAGAATTAATTACACATCGGGATTATTAGTATCTCTCCAGACCAATCTGGAGTATGAAAATGACTTACTAATAAATTAGTTTTATTTATTTATTTACAGATTATATTGTTTGTTAAATTAATAAAAAACAATTGAGATTTTGTTTCATAAGCTATATTGATAATGTTTTCAAGAATTTTAATTACACAACAAACATCTAAACCAAGGGTCTCCAAACTTTTTGGCCCGTGGGCCACAGCTTATGGTAAAAAAAAAAAATAATATTGTATAAATGAAATTCTAATTGTGAAATGAGTTTTTTAGGAGAAACAACTCGTGCAATAAAATTTTTAGTAACCTTGTGTTTGAGTGATTAACTTAATTTCATAGTTTTTAAATAATTTTAAAATCAGAGATCCATCCCACCGTCCTTAGTTCGGAGACCCCTGATCTAAACCATAACATTGCTCATTGTGATAAAGTAATATAGGTAGAACATGTTTTTTTTTGCAATATGAAAATTGTTGAAAACATTATGGATACAGATAAAATTGACATAATGGTTGTTTATTTTAAAAATTTGTTAGTAATTACTTCGTTAATTGGATTTACTGATAGTGTTATAATAATAGTTAAAATTATGCTTAGAAGCTTATTGTATATTACTCTTACACAATAAGCAAAGATATAATAACTACAATTATCAGCGATAATATAACCTGTACTGTGTATATTGTTTTAATCAGTTAAAGTAATCAGGTATGATCTAAACTTTCATCTTTTTCATCTACTTGGTTGAATTATTTGCTTTTAATCTCTTACAACGTCCTATTATCTGCAGTTTGCAATGATTAAGAAATAAAGATGCTTCTATAGATTTATAATTCAGTTACGATTTGATTCTTGAACTAGAATTATTCCCAAAATAACTTTTAAAAACAGGATTTGAGCTATTTTAGATTATAAAATTATTTCCTGAAAAAAAGCATTGATTTAATCTACCAAATCAGTTTTCTTGACTAATTGCCTTACTTTTTTTTACTATTAATTTTATCAAATAATCTATTTTCCATAAATATATCCATTTTTTCTAATTTTATAAGTACTCATTTTGGCTTAGTGGTTAGCATCATAATATATCATCTATGTATGGATGGAAATAAGAAATTCATCTTTATGACTATTCAAAGAACATTAAATTTTGTTCATTAGTTAC